CCAAAGCTGAGGCCCGACGTCTCACAGTCCACCAGTGTCACACTTTGTACTGCACCGCCATCTCACCCTGCCCCCACTGTGTCCCAACACTTTATCCGCTTCACTTTCCACAGGAGGTCTGCTGCTTTGTTGCTCTGCTCTGCCGACATGCCATTGTACCAGTACATGTGCTTCCTCTCTCAGTGCGAGCACTGCAGATCTCTCCCCCCCCCCCCGGTGAACATTCCTGTGTGTCCGAGTCTCTGTATAAGAGTGTCTCTTTCTTTTTTTTAAATGTGATATCTGTAGCGCTGTTTTTGTTTGTTAAGAGGTAATATATGAAGGCAAGGTCTCGTCTGTATTTGTTTATTCATGATGGATTAGAACAGAAGAGATGGGCTGTGAAATAAAGATCAAAACACAAAGCTTTTCTTTTTAGAAAGTTGCCTTTTATCTGAAATTAATTTGATTTCTTCAGTCTTTTAATACACTAGTGAATCTCTACTGTACTTACTTTCATGCAGTTCCTTGGTCTTCCTCAGTATCAGTTAAGAGCTTGACTAATTCTCCAGCAGTAGGGGGCAACGTTGAGTCAGAACAGCAGCACAGTCCATGCCTACATACAGTATGCAGTCACTCTTTGAGATTTCAGCCGTTTTAGACTGTGCACAGCTTCACTTGAGTGGTTCGCTGTCAAGTGAATTAAACTGAGCAGGGTGCCGGTGTAGAAGCGCACACTTAAATCACATGTAGTTAACAACAGCATGTTTTCACCCATGTTTACTCCTCTGAGGCGAAAGTGTTGAACGTATCTGTGACAGCGAATTGAACATGAAAAGAACAGTTTTCTTTGTTCACGCTACATAAAAATGAATCAGGGACACACAGAGGAAGGAAGAAAGAAAGCGTGGTGGCAGGGACGCCTGAGGCCGGAGACTGATCACTGCACTGAATCTGCCAACTGTGTTTCTAAACTTTTCTGTAAGGGATGGGAGGAAGAAGCTTTGTCCCTGGGCATCACATTCAGCACCGACAAACAAAAGGTCTGACCAGCTGGAATAATGAGACCTGAACTACAGTTCTCATGGGGGGGGGATATTAATCTAATATTTCTTGTTGCCAAGTCTAGTTAGTAGGCAACGTTGTGCAGGACATGACAGCTAATTACTACAAGCTAAAGGGCACACAGAAAGAAAGACAATGAAAACAGATAACAGCTCACGTAAACATGTAATGAAGGTGCGAATGAGGAGACGGATGGCTGTCAGCCTCACTTATAATGCAAAGCGTGACACATCCGCGGGGCACTGAATTCTGCTGCGAGTTCTCCCGGCAGATCTAATTATGGGCCACAGAATGAATGTACCTTCACCCATGAACCCAGTTACCTGCCTCTGTAGAGGTTGTTATAGAGGAAAGCTGCTAATGAACAAAGCTGCTACCAGCAGGCATTGTTTTCCCGCCTGTATACAAACCTTTTCCATTTATATTAATTTAAACTTTAAGAGAGGCTACCACATTGAAACTTGAGAAAACTATTTCTTGAAGGCTTTTTGGCAACATGCTCGCTGCAACTGGATAACAAGGAGAAGACAAGAGTGCTGGCACCCCGTTAAAGCTGAACGCCCGGAGTGAAGGAAACACACTTGCAACAATGATATACGGCCATGAAGAAGTGATGAACCATCTGTTCTCTTGGGTGGTGTGTGTGTCAGGGGCTGAATTTAAAATTAATAAAAACCCCAAAAAGTTATACAATCTGGCAGTAGAGACGCAAACAGTCTATGTATGCAACAGCCAAAGTCATTTTATTCCAGTATGAAACTGGTCTCCACAATATTAACATCCATTGTCAGTTAAATAAAAAAGCATAGAAAACAAACATAGAAAACGCGATACAAGATCTAATTTCTTAATCACCATCCTGGCCTCTAGATCCAAAGGCTTTGATTCAACTGTTATAGATGGGAAATAAAGCGGGTATTTGTCTTTCAATGTATGGCGCTCACAGCACAAAGGGAAAGAGTTTTGCCCTGATGAGGACGTACTGGGAGAGAAGCCCTAAAAATCAATATATGCTCTGTGGGGAAAATGAAGACAAAATTATCTTATTTCTTACCAGCAGCAACCACTAGAAAGAATGTAAAGGTCAGCCAAGCAGCTTCGGGCTAAGTGTGTTTTTTAAAATTTAATTCAAAAACACTGTTAATCTACTACAAGTTAATGAGATTTTGTGAGTGATATATCCGATGTCTACACTGCGGTGCCGATTCCCACTGCATGGATTGAAAACGGAGCGTCCTCCACAGTCTCTTGCTTATCAAACAGCCAGCGGGATGTTTTATTATGCCGTGCCAGTAGCTGCAGGAATCTTCAATTTAAAGTTTTCTTACTATTAATGAACCGCGTGTCTACTTCACGGCACCCGGCCCGTAATCTGCCAGGAATCTGATAAAATATAACAGCAATTCATGAAAACTCTGCCTGTGTCAGGGGCCAAGGGTCTGGGGACAAAGCAGATGCATATTTGGGAAAGTAATGCACTCTACTAGGTTTAGAGGGGCAACTCTTCCCATTTCACAGGTCAAATTCACTCCTTACAGAGTACTTTTCAACCTTCTTAACCTGTTGGAAACAGTTGGATAATGTCTTCTGTAGCTCTGTAGGAGCATTGACAAGTCTGAAAAAATAACCCTGATGAAGTCATTGGTATTTAGGGCTCTGATTGGTTGTTGGGCTCCGAGATTACAAGATGTATTCCAGAAAGTGGGGGTGTGGAGTTTGAAAAGACATGGCATTAATTTAGCTGGGAAGCTCTAATGAATGATGCTATCTTGTTGCATTATGGGAAACGTAGGAATCATGGCTTTGGGGGCTTGACCTACTCTTGCTAATATTCAGGAAAATTAGGAGTCTACTGCATTGATTTTTACTATTTAAAATCAATCTGTCTTTAAAGAAGTGCAATACTACATTTCTGAATATCCCTTTGATAAATTTGACAAAATATGGTCAGACAGGTCCTTATAGTAAAATAAAGGACCAGTGTGTAAGATTTAGGGTGCTCTATTGGCAGAGTATCGCAGAAATGGAAATAATATATTCATACATAAGTTTTCATTAATGTATAATCACCTGAAAATAAGAATCACTGTGTTTTTGTTGACTTAGAATGAGCCCTTATACCTACAGAGAGACTGGGTCCTCTTCCATGAGTCTGCCATGTTGCACTGCCATGTTTCTACAGTAGCCCAGAATGGACAAACCAGATACTAGCTCTTGAGAGCTTTTCATGTTTTTTGTTCCACCACAGGTTCTCCCACATGCTTGGAAGGGGAGGGGTGAGGCAAGCGGTATTCAGATGGTTGCAATCTATAACCTCACCGCTAGATGATGCCATTAAATTCTGCACACGGGTCCTTTAAGTAAAACACTTGCATAACACCTTAAATTGGTGACAAAGAGTCATGTGCATAATAAATACATCTGACATCAAAATATTGAGTCAAATACGATAAATTAACAAATGTAAATAAATACATGAAAAAACTAATGATTGACTCTTTAATGCATTTGAATGGGGTGAGACAGTAAGGCCTGCGTTTTGTGTTTTTACTGAGCCTGTGTGAGTCTCCTTCATGTAGTCAGATCTAAATACTGATGACACCCAGGACATCGTGCAGATTCAGCTAGATGGAGCTCTGCGTCTTGATAAAAGCTGTCCGCTCGCTTTGACCGTCCACTTCCTCGCTGTCTGATTCAGACTGGTAGGCGATCATGTCCTCATCCCCCCACACAGTGGGGATCCCCTTGTAGCTTACCCGTGCCTTCCTCTCCCGTCCTTGGCCGAAGCCAAAACCAAAGTCCACCCGCACCCCCCTCATCTCTGAATACACAGAGGGCAGTTTGGTCCTCCAGCCCAAAGAAGCTCCACCTGAGCGCATCTGCAGCAAGAGGAAGACCCCGACGAAGGCAGCCAGAATGAAGGCACAACTCAGCACGGCCACGATGGCAGGCAGCTGAGTGGATGGAGCTATGCTAAGCCCCGGAGGTTCCTCGCCTTCTTTGCTGTCGCCTGCTGCTGCTCCTGGGATCTCCCCCTCTGGCTGGGCACCGTTCCCCTGGAGCTCCCCAGCTAATGGGGATTTACGCTGCACCTGGTTCTGGTGCAGGCAGGACGTGAGGACCAGGTGGCTGTGAGGCGGGCAGGACAAGCAGTCTGTAGGCCCGGTGCCAGAGCAGGTGAGGCAGGCGGGATGGCAGGGCAGACAGGCCTGGACGGAGGACAAGTCCACCCAGTTCTCCAGGGAGAGGTTGAGGAGCTGCGGCCCTGAGGTGAAGCCTGGCGGACACAACTTCAAACAACCCTGGAGGAAGAGGGAAAAGCCGGGGCTGCATTCTGGATGGTGTGGGAGATGAAAGAATAAGGGGAAAAAGTGTCATTCAATGCAATAAAACACAACGAAAATGGCATCCACAACTATGTATGTTTGTATTTTTATTTTTTTAACTAACTAACTAACTAACGGGAAATAGAGTTCTCTGAAACAGTACACATAATAACTAAAATATCTGGAACTGATACTCTATTACACTTAATAGCAGATCCTATTCTTTACATTTGTTAAATTGTATGCTTCCTTGTAATTTATAACCACGCAGAAAGATACACTTCTACAGTTTTTCATTTTCAACTGATCTCCTGTCTCCTGACTTGGACTTTGCTAAAAGATAGCTAAACAATGGCCACACCCAGGAAATCAAAATAGTTGGACATTGTGTCTCTTTTCTCTATATAATTATAAATATATTCCAGTTCATTTCAGAAAACTGGGGCCCTGTAAAAATAAAGTGTTACTCCTGAAATGTAGGAGTAACACAAGTTTGTGTAACTAAATTATGGAGAAGAAAGTGTCTGACTGCTTGGAAGCAGAATGAAGCTTCCGATCTCATCTGCCTTCTAATGAGGGAGTCGTCCTCCTCAACAGTTGTTGACAACATAGCACCTCTTCACTGACGCAGTTTGAATCTCCCCTGCTGCTCCTCCATACGTCCCACACTCTGAGTCAAACTCATATGACATATGGCAATGTGCATATTCGTAGTGCGCGTGTAAACAGATGCACGAGAGACTTGCAAATGGGCGACCACAACGCTCGCTTTTCACAAGTTGAAATACCAAACACAGTCTGACCAAAAGCCTGTTTTCTAACAATCGCTGAGTGCCAGCAGAAAATACAAATGAGCCCATTCAACTTCCACAAATGAACTCACCGATACAAATCTGCTGGGCATCGAAGGTCTTGCAGCTGTTGTTGGACGGCCGAGGGAAATCAGATGAGGAGGGGTTAATAACGCTGGGTCCAGTACCCCACAGGATGAGAGTGAACTGACTCAACACACCTAGAAGAGAGAGAGAAGGAGGGGGGGG